TTTTTACAATGTTTTCATTATAATTCTGTTTCATTGTCAATTCTGTTTTTGCTTGCCACCCTGACCTTGCTTCATCAGTGATGCTTTCTTTCCCCTCAGGAAAACATTTGTATGCTGCTGTTTTCTTCGTGGCCTTATCCCTATAAATTTAGACTCATATGTCCCTAATTTCACTTTTACTCTTGTCAAATTTAACAAATTTATACATGCTTGCTCCTTGCTCTGATTCAAGCTCTAACATTCTTGGTGTGGCACATTAAAAAAAACATGCAGTGAACAATAATGAATGCCATTGATCAAGACACTGCTACACTTCAACACAAACGTAGCTTTGAGACATTGATACACCAAGGTTAGGAAACCTTACTGAGTTGTTTGTACCCTGCTACCATGTAAGTGCATGGTGGCATGTTTGAGAACTTAAAGGTCAGACCTTGTATGAATCTGGTAGATGGTTGTTCTAGTTAGCTAGGCCTTCAAAGGAGTCATCTAGTTTGCTGTCTTCAGGACATGGATGAAAAGAATGTGGCTTTGAGAAGTACAGATCTTTGCCTGGGCCAGTAGTGGAAACAGATTGAGACTCCCTGTTGTTTGTGCTGTTTTGCTCTCTTCACTCCTTTTCCTTTTCTAGCCCTGTCTTTCTTGGTGCTGTTTCTTTCTTTTCTGTAAGTTTCAGATTATTGTGGGGGTATATATATTTTTGGTCACATAGTTTGCTTTTGTAAGGTTAAAGTCAGAGTTATAGATATGTCTGTCAACATGAAACTGTAAAAATCCTAGAAGAAAATGTGGGAAAGCTCTTAATACTGGCCTAGGGAAATTATTTATTTATTTATTTATTTATTTATTTTTGAGGCAGAGTCTCATTATGTTGCCCTTGGTAGAGTGCCATGATGTCACCGCTCACACAACCTCCAACTCTTGGGCTTAAGCAATTCTCTTGCCTCAGCCTCCCAAATATCTGGGACTACAGGCGTCCACCACAACACTTGGCTATTTTTTGGTTGCAGTTCAAATTGTTGTTTGGCA